TTGTCGTTAATTATTTTCAAAGCGCAGTTTGATCTGCTTAATATCTGTTGAAATATAGCTGTGTGGTGGTGCTGGATCCTTTCTTTCGTGTCCAGAATTCCCCTCAGTTTCTGCGTGCCTCAGAGATTCAAACTCATCAGTGGCTATTATCTCAGTTGAGCTGTTTGTTCCTTGCGGCTTGATACTCCGGTGGTTTTCAGACTTACACTCTTCTAGCCTCTTCCGCCGGTTGTCATTGTCATCGCTCTCGGTGTTTTCTTCTGTTTCTGAGGAGTCTGCTGTTTGGGTTGCTGCTCTGCTTGTTGTTGCTGCTTGTGATATGTGGGTAATATAATTGGGTTCTTGTGGTACTATAGGTACTATCTGAGGCATATTCCAGTATGTATTATCCTTATTATCAAAGTACACGTCAATAATGCAACAATATAAAAGACATCAAGAATATGTCACTCATTAAAAATGTATTTTAATACTTTATGATGTTAAAATCATTAAAATATCAATAGGACACACAGTATATTTTTTATATATTGAAAGTTATTATAAAAATTTCTGAAATGTCTCTAGTTTTGCATGTATTTTTCTAGTTTTACGATATGTTTCGGCCTCACATGGGCCATCATCATGTGATTTTTTGGAGGGAGACCATTTGCTCGGTATATTCTTTGACCCACAAGATAGAGGCCCTGCGTTCCCTCGAAATGGCAGCGAAATTCTGTCGGACCAAACTACGGCACGCCCCTTCATAATCACCACTGTCAGAGACTCAAAGCCGATGCCATGGAAAACTTTTGTGCCGAGGTTTGGAATCATCATAGGCCTATCACAATTTCGATGAGTTGATACCCTATCCAAGGAGTCATACCAAGAGCACAAAACATTTTTTCTTTAATAAATTATTTATGAATTGTAGCAGACCACGGGGCGAAATCCCCAACAAGAAGATGATCAATTGTAAAATTATTGCTTTAATAAATTACACACAAGGCCATAAAAACTGAGGAGGTAGGCCCTTAGTACCCACAGATTCTTAACCTTGACACTAGTCGAAAGCGAACGATCATCGTAAAGTTTTGGTATGCGCTTTTACAGGCTCCGCTTTTCAGAACTACTAATGATACGTACTCGCAAAATGTGCTTATTCTGTATCCGTATTGAAATTCGCGACGCGTTGCCCGAACCAGCGCCTCGTCGCTACATGGTGGCAATTACCATACGTACACACTGACCCCGAACCCAATACATAATTACAGTTAATGCATCACTTCCCATTACCGGGAGAATTACGAGAGGTCAGGGGTCCACTGAGTGACTGACGTCCGCTTGGATAGCAATACATTTCGACCATTAACCTGTCTCTTGTGATTGGACAAGTGATGTGAACATTGCCTGAGTTATCAAAAGTTCTCACTTCTAATTTCATTGTTCTCAGACTATGAAGGTGTTTAGGCCGCGCCATAGCTCAAGCGGTTAGTCATTGGCTTCCCACCTCGACGGCCCGGGTTCAATCCCGGGTGTGATCAAGTGGGATTTATGGTGGAAAAAGTGGCGCTGGGGCCGGCTTTCTCCGAGTACTTCGGTTTCCCCTGCCAATCTTCATTCCACCAAATTCTCCATCATCATAATCACCTGCGACAGGCTACAATAGGCCAATCAGTGGCCGCCGTGCCGAGTGGACACAGTTGGATTCCAACCCCCAATAAGCGAATTAAAAAAAATTACTGGAGGTATTTAGTCTCTTAGGGCATGTGGGCTGTATATCCGTGAATAAACCGAGAGGTCACAGTAATAATTCGCCCTCCTTAACTCCTGTGTCCAAGCATTCGTGTTATAATCACTTTATTACTGTTTTCTCTATGCCAGAAATGGCGAGGCGGAACCGTGAAGAAATAAAGCGAAGTATTATTGCATGACTTTTACATGAACTTCACTTAGATTTTGTAACCAAACGGTTTTAATCTGCGGTAAGATTCTTGACTTTTATCCTGGAGAACCTCGGATCGAATCTCGTCTGGAGCACCGGCTGTCCTGCTAAAGTTAGCACTAACTTCGCCGACAAACAGCGGTCACTCGGTCGGTATAATTCGCTTGCGGACTAAAATCACAGGGTTTTTCTTGGGGGGGGGAGGTCGAAACTGGATCGTATAGCGGAGATATAGTTTAGTTTTTTAAACGCGTGATCTGAATTTTTAAAAGTTCTTTACATAAAGTAAAAGTAAAAGTAAATAAAGCTATCCCTGTACCAGGCCGTGAAGGCCCATGGGGTTGTGAGACGTTGAGGGTCCCACACTATCTAGACAATCGGCTCAAAGATGGCGGTAAGATTGTCAGCCTTACGCGCCGGCCGCGCTTTACTCCCCAAGAAAATCATTTAATTCCTGGTACTCATTTCTGTTAGAGACTGAGTGAACCCTATGGCCATAGTGCGGCTGGAAGGATTAGGTCAATTGGAAAAATCCAATGACCTCATCGATACTTGAACCCGCGACCTTCCGACTTGTAGCACATAATGATGATGTTTGTAATTTCGCTTGGTTTATATCCGAAACATTCTAACATCATTTGTATGATATTTAGTATACCCCCTAAAAGTATCAGGGAAATCACATTTGAATGGCAAACTGTGACTCCTAAGTGTTACTTATTCGTGACTAATCAATCGTAAACACTTTACCTTCCCACCTCGATCCCGCTGTTTCCGCTGCTACCCCATCCCTTTTATACTCCCTGAGAGCGCATGCGTACCGATTGGCTAGAAGAAACCTCTGAACTTAATCCCCGAAGGCTGACTAAGTTGATGGGGAAAATGTTACAACGTGCTTCATAAACGGGACATTATTTAGTAACCACTTGAGCTCGAAAGAGTTTCTCAAGAAGGAATCTGTTAGTAAGATTTGAGTTTTCCGCGGCGGTGACTATGGAGAAAGTGGTCTTCTGGGATGTGAGGCCGTATAGATATTGTGTTAACCGACGTTTCGGATGAACGTATCGCCTCCATCTTCAGGATAGAAGAAAAAAGAAAATCGCGAGCGAGGAGCCAGCGTGAGCAGGTGCTAACAAACTAGTCTGTTAGACTGTTAGCACCTGCTCACACTGGTTCCTCGCTCGCGAATTTCCTTTTGTCTCTTCTACCTTGAAGATGGAAGCGATACGTTCCTCCAAAACGTCGGTTAACACAATATCTACACGGTGCTTTCTTCAGGAATCTGTTTATTCGAATTACTGTTATTCTGGTGAAATGGGCCTAAACTTTTGCACCCTCTTTAAAGAATCGCTTATATGAGATTTAGCTCTCCAAAAAGGTCAGAGTGTGGAGGCAGTTTCACTGAATGAAGTGCGTCATTCTTTTGTTACGAATAGCTAAATAGCTAAACCCGGGGCATGTTGGTGATGGGTTCCATATTGTGGGGAAGTACCTGAATAAGAGTATTCAGCGTTCGCTGTTTCCCTCTTTGTATTAAATACCAGGAATTAATTGATGGCAGAGTGACGGACATGACTGTGACGTTTGAATGAAAGTGATTCAATTCATTGTGACCCGGTCATAGATCCCTGGCGCAATCAATCAGCACTTTGTAAAAAGATAATTGTGTTTTGTAGCAATATGTTCAGCTTTGTGAAAGTGGCTTGCTCCAAAGTACATGTTCTGTCTTCAAACTCTGAAATAACTCATCCATTCAAAGAATGCCCTGCTTTGGTAGAATCTGAAATTTTAATATAGTGTTCATGACATCACACCATTTAACCATCTCTGGTTCACTTACTAACCTAGTTTTCCTTCGTAATGAAAAAGTAGGCTTTTGGGATCCCCACGCCGTCTTTATATATTTCTGTACCGCCTTTTCAAATTTGAAACAATAAACTGGTTTTCATGAACTGCCATGTGGACATTAGGGGCCGCCCCGTGCTGTAGTAAGAAATTGCAACATAGCGGAGGTCCAAACTTGTGACGCGGGACACACACTTCATCAGAGGATCCTACAATCATATACTATAATAGGTATTCAAAACAAAAATTATTTATTAATTTCTTTCTCTGCTTACTGCTTGCTACTTTCCGGGTACTTACTTGGATTGTTCTCCGACTCTGAAGACAGAAGCAGTGTGTTCCTCCGAAGTGTCGTTGATCCTTTACCAGACTACATGGTGTCACAACGCAGATTGCACAAATCTGATTAATCTCATATTATTTGGTAAAATAATTCATAGTTCTTATTAAATGTCATAGAAAAACTCCAGTTTATCTCACATTTTTGTGGTTAACGCCAGTCTTTGTGGAAGTTTCGTGCTAGAATCCAACCGAAAGTTACCTCCATCAAATTCCTACATTTCCTCCTTCGCAAACGTTATCATCATTCAAAATTTCAATTTTTTCATCAAATACTGTTTTAAAAAGGAATTCATCTGACTCAAAAGTGGTGAACCTTTTCATGCCTGTTTGCCAGGTTTGCAGTCAAAACTTGCTCACCAATTAGAATTGGAGTCAAGACTTCTTCGACTGCTCCACAATGCCTAGTGAGAGGTTTCTACTGCTACAAATGTTTGCACTCTACTTTAATTCTTAGCGTGTATGCGATTTTGAAATTGACAGAAAAGATGTCTTTTAGTTTCAGATACGGCTTCTTAAATCTGACTTCATGAATTTCACAGTTGATAGTAATCAGTCACATGAAATAGCGTTGTGTTTTCATATAACTGTCTTTCTCTGGGTGACAACATTTCTGGCATTTTTGGCTGATACATAAATTTACACAAAAAATATATCTTTCGAGAAAGAATTATGACTTGGTGAACTACAGAATTATCAGGCAGATTAAGATGGACAAGACCTGCATCACTGCTGCCAGCCAATGTCTCCGTCGGTGCTACTGTTTCCCTTCCATAAAAAGGTCAAACGAAAAAGAAAATCACTGCCATTATCGGGTATGCATCGAAGTAAGAACACAGAACCTTATTCTGATTAATAAATATATTAATTTCTTTTATTTCTTGCTTCGCAGGCAAACCTCGCCCTGTGGTCAAGTGGTACAGGAACGACCAATTGGCAAGTAATGTCTCCACTGCGGTCAAGACTAGCGTCGGCGGCCATCTTGTCCGCAGCGAGATCATTGTCAGGAATCTCGGTCGCCAAGATCTGCACTCCCAACTCAAGTGCCGCGCTTCTAACAACAATAGAACGCACCCGCTGGAGGCTACTGTGCACGTCGACATGAACTGTAAGTATCCAGGAAGCCTGTGCTTTTCATCACGATTAGTAAGCAAGGAAACCAAAAACTGATAATTCGAAAACACTTATTTTTCATGTTCTGCTCCTTTGTCCGCAACAAGTGAGCGCTTTAAAGCCCTTTCGAGATATGGATATCGAAGTTCCCCCCCCCCACAGTGAAGTCCTGTCTGTAGGTGTCCCTGTGTATCCTTCCTTTCGTGAAATATAGGTAGATCTATAATGAAGAGTGCTGTCTTCGGTGGAAGGGTCGGAATTCGAGTCCCGGTAGAGTCAAGAATTTTCTCCACGTCGTCTAGACCTGCTCCAGGGCCCACTCAACCTCCTATCGAATGGGTATCGGGAGCTTTTCCCCGGGGGTAAAGCGGCCAGGCCCTGACACTGACCACTCACCTTCAGCTAGTGCCAAGGTCAGGAAAAAGTGAATCTATTGTCACTCCCACATACGTCTTCATGGCGTAGTGCTTAATTGGTTAAGCGCAAGGACAACTTTACCTTTACTTTACTATCTTCGGAAATGAAACGCCATTTAGTGTGGCAGAAGATTATCGACGGCTCAGAAGGCTTAATGCTTCCATCTTCAGGATCGAAATAAAGCCGAGCAATAAAGGAAGCAACGTCAGCAAACGTCTGTCAGACTGTTTGGCATCACTTTCCAGTAACTAGTACTTTCCTTAAGCACAACCGTGAAAACCTCACACTCACGTCTGGCTACATTTTAGGGATCCTATTATCTCCCCAGCTTAACTGAGGACACGTGGGACATGTGCTTACACATAGGCCGCGCCATAGCTCAAGCGGTTAGTCGCTGGCTTCCCACCGCGGCGGCCCGGGTTCTTTCCCGGGTCTGTCAAGTGGGATTTCTGGTGGACAAAATGGCGCTGGGGCGGGTTTTCTCCGAGTACTTCGGTTTTCCCTGCCAGTCTTCATTCCAACAAATTCTCCATCATCATGATCACCCGGGGCAGGCTACAATAGGCCAATCGGTGGCCGCCGTGCCGAATGGACGCAGTTGGACTCCCCCCTCTAAGCGAATTTAAAAAAGAAATTATCCTTACACATCTTTTGTTTGTTTAATGATACTTTATTAACCCGAAGGGCCAAATTCTTAAAAATAAATTACGGGTATAATTAATTTCGAAGAGAGTGCAACCTAACGTTCGTGGCCTGTTTTAAAATAATGCTTGAATAAGCTGCAGAGAGTTACGACAACATCTCGCAAGTGAGTAGCATAAAGTGACTGAAAGGAGTGTTGTTTATTGGGTTGTAGAGCTCTTCCCGACACATAATGGTGAGGGAGAGAAGTTATGTACGTCCTGTGTTTCATGAATTAACACATTTCTCTGCAGGGCCTAATATAGAATGTTTCCTTCGCGCAATTATACAGATTGCCATAATTACAGATGTTTTTTTTTTCCTTGGCACTACAGCCCCAGTGGGCCTAGGCCTACCTCCATGAACTTCACTTCGGTTTTTTTAGATCTTAGACATACGGTAGGACTCCTTGGGCGGGTGATCAGCTCGTCGCAAGGCCTCTACCTGTACACAAACACAGACAAACGCACACAAACATCCATGCCCTGAGTGGGATTCGAACCCACGATCCCGGCTTCCGAGCTAGCGAAGACAGTTCACGCCTTAAACCGCTCGGCTACCGTGACCGGCACAGATGGGGGTTGCATTCCTAAAATTCATGAAATAGTGTCACGTGTATTAGTGACTCATAGTCGGGGTTTGGATTGGCGAACCGATTCATTGGCTATTCACAAGTCATAACTACGATTAACTATGTAAAACACTCACTGATAACTGTTAACTAACCCAAGCGACAAAACAAAGTCTTCAATGTCTGCTTGCTAGGTAACATGATGAATCTTGAAGAGTCTGTAGTCTCTCCCACACTTGCTATGCTTGCTTGAACGACGTCTCTGTCTCGAGAGCACAGTAATTCACTTCTGGCCTTCTTTTATACCTGCCAAGCTGCTGAGAAGTTCTGCTTTCGTATCCGTAGTAACTGTTTATTTATGCACTCGTCGCCACGGGAACGTGTTTACGCTTGCTACCTAGGCAACGACGCCTTTTTTATTTGTTATAACGTGGAAATATTCCTTGCCGCAGAAGCATGATTACCGTGCCGTTGTCTAACAATGAACGCCTGGCTCAGACTGCACTATTGCGGCTTTTAGGCCTCATCTTCCAATATATTAAAAAGGCTTAAGACGAGAAACGATCTCATCGAACACATGCCGTGATGAAGAGAACGTCATGAATTGATGAAAATGAGAATTGTGGGTCAAGGAAGTGCAAGCACAAGCCATTGAGGATAGGGTGGCGTCTTCTGTCGTGTCAGACAGAATGTTGACGCTTCTCATAACACTGAAATGAGGCGTCGGATAACAAAGCCACCTATAACAATATCCACCTGCGTAATTTTAACAATAATTAATACAAGCGTTTAATTTGATGGTTAAGTAAAATTACTGACAACTCTTTTGAGGTTTGTTGTTGCAGAATTTTGTACCAGTCCTTAAAAGTTATGACCTGTAATGGCACAGAAGGTCATGAGATTTTTCCTGTTGGCGCATACATAAATAAGATGAGTATTGAGAACTAATTGTCAATAGATTTTCCGTCAAGTGCAACAATGTATATTTTGATCACTTAATTATCTCATCTGCCTTACATGTTTCGGTTCCAAGGAACCATCTTCAGAGGCACTTATAACAAACCATGAAAACACTGGCACAGCTCAACATTCACAATATGTAATTATTCATGGAAACTATTACATATAACGGAGTGTAAAGCACAACACTTCCCAGTATCTTGAATGCAGGTATAGCACTTGCATCTAAAGGACCACCCTCAAAACCGAGTCGTCAACGTTAAAATTTAAAGTTAAAAAATTAAAAAACGTTCAAGTAAAATATTATTCAGGCTCCTTCTTGGTGAATCGTCCCAATGGGGGGAGNATATGTAATAGTTTCCATGAATAATTACATATTGTGAATGTTGAGCTGTGCCAGTGTTTTCATGGTTTGTTATAAGTGCCTCTGAAGATGGTTCCTTGGAACCGAAACATGTAAGGCAGATGAGATAATTAAGTGATCAAAATATACATTGTTGCACTTGACGGAAAATCTATTGACAATTAGTGATTGATAGTGTAACGGACCAAAATGAAACAATTCAAAAAAAAAAAAGAGTATTGAGAACTTTTACGCTCATCCTAGGCAGATTTCAATTTAGCATCAAAACTGAAGCTCTAATTTGTGATCCAAGGAGCACCATTAATATCGTCAGTCTTTCAATACAGAATAGTGAGGAATAGTTTAAATCGATGTGATGAGTTATCTATTTTTGCCGCAAGGAATAAAAAGCGCCTTTGAAAGAATGTCATATCTACGCGAGGAGACAATCCATTGAGCGTTCTTCTTGCCATGCTGGCCGCCGCGTTATAATTAAATTCCCCGTCTCCAGAAGGCAACATTGTGCTCCGTCATGGCGCTACGTATCGTGGAGGAGCTTATTGTAAGTTAGAGATGACTCGGTAATCTCATTAAATTTGTCGACGCCACTGCCGTCTCTCAACAGTATTGTTACTCTCAGAGTTATTGCACTGGAATATGGGAGGAATTGTTAGTTGTCTTAAGTCGAAATTAACTGTTCTCAACCCCTTGTTCACCTTCCCTGCACATTAACATATAATTGTACATTTAAAGTAAATTATATTACGGACATTAAAATTTGAATATGTCAGCATGCAGACTCTGTGGCATTGAATGGCTGGGTAGAAGGGAGGAAGTGGTCGTTGACTAATCGGAGTACTGTCCCGGTATATGCCTGAAAGAACCGAGGAATTTTACGAAAGTCCCAATACGTACCGTGTCCCGACAGAACAATACCACCCACTAGCTTCCGTTATTTGGTAAAGTGATTTGTGAGAGAATTAACGAATTGTGGGATTGACGATGATTTGTTCTAAGGTACTATAACGGAATTTTCCCTGGCGGGACTGAGCAAAACCAATTTAACATCAGATATTATATTTAAGCATCCTGTTGCACTCTACACGATGAATGATACAAACTCCGTCCTAAGTGCAAACAATATATATAATATGTCCCTGATCTTGCTCTCCTCTACACTACATGTTTCGGCCTCTAACGGCCATCATCAGGTGTATACTCTTACGTTACTGCCACACTGAACCCAGTCTAAAATTTAACATTTAAAAACACATTGTTATTTCTTCGTTATTATCAACATCTACCTCGTTGATATCTGTCTGGTATGTAGATTATTTTGCACACGTTCATTTTGGTTTTCCTGTAGTAGCACTATAAAATCTGTAGTTCTAATTTTAAAATCCTTTAAATTTTTCTCTAAATTTTAAATTTAAAATTTAAAATTGTTAGGGTTACTCGCCCTATGTCTAAGTGCTGCAGCGGCTAGTTCTTGTTTCCACACTGTACAGGTGTTATTCTGTGTAGTCTTCCTGAGTGCGTGCCGCTGCTTCTCTTTACTACGTGTGGTTAACATCAGATTATCTGGCCCATGGACCCAGAGTTGAAAGCACGGCAGTAGAAGAGAGAAATAATCTTCGTCATGGATCTCGAAGAGATTGAAGCCAGGAATGACTGTGCTGGCGAAAACCAGCAGCAATTTAACCGACCGACCTATTAGCTGAAGAGAGACAGTTACCGTCTAGGGTTAGATGTGAGTGGGTGGCCTGCCAGGGTAGAAACTGTTGAATCCGGAAGCTGAGGAATGTACGCTGTGAGTAGGGGGTCAGACAGCGCAAAGCGAACACACAGAAGAATTATTGCGTGCTACAGTGAATTGTAAAAGGTGTTAGTGGCGCTTAGTCGCCGGCTTCCCAAGAGCGGGTGCCCGGTTTCAAGTTCGGCTCAGGTCAGTTGGGATTTGTGGTGAACAGTGTGGCACCGGGGCACGTTTTCTCCGTGTACTTCCGTTTACCCTGCCAATTCG